TTGTTGATATTATCTTTCTTTAGGAGTTTACTATTGAAGTAATTCGAGAACTCTACTTTGATCTAATTTAACGGAATTTTTAATGCAGTATATATGATATTTACGCATCACGCAAAAATACTAAAATGTTTTTCAGATTTCGAAAATGCATCTTCGAATATATCATGCATCAACGTTATGGCGCACCAAATGACTGTCACCGTAGATGAATATTAAAATAAGTTTCGGAGATGCATCTTCGGGTGTTTTCAATAAATATAATGCCAGTTGATCAGTTCAATGGACATTTTGAAGATGCATCTTTGAAAGTTTGAGGCAGGATTTTGAAATTTGATGTCACTTTTGCATGTCAGATATTCGGAATAATTTGATAAAACACATAGTTGCATGATCACACAGCCATACTTATTTTTCACTCAAAACCCTCACTAAAAACCCTTCAATTCGCAATCCACATTTTCACTCCAAATCTTCAATCTTGTGTTTCATCACATCAAAGGGAGTAAAAGAAGTTGAAATTCCAGGTAAAAATCATTTATTTCAAGCCTCATTGCTCATATTAATCTTGTTTTCTATATGAAAAACTAGCTTATTCCGGAGATACATTTCTGGAACGAGTATGAACTTACCTAAAAATGCATTTTTGGTATCTGCCCGTGTTCATTTTTTCAGTTTTGCTTACAACATTAGTGCTTATTTACTACTATGTGATAATTGTTTTCATTAGATATGGTGCACCCCGATATTTTTCCCAAACAAATTGTGTCTCCCATTATTAAAGGTGTTATTGTAAAAGCGGTAGATGTTGGCAACCAATTTAAAAATGACCAAGAGTTTGAATCTCGTGATCACATGCTTTAATGAATTCGTATGAAGGCCTCCAAACTGGGATTTGGTGTGGTTATCGGGAGGTCTAATAATGGTTCAGATAGAAGATGTGATTTTGTGACAATGAAATGCGAAAGAAGCGGGAAATATGACCTCCTCTCCTAAATTTTAAACGAGATGATATCGGTTCAAGAAAATGTGAATGCCTCTTTAAGAAGCATGGTTATATGTTGGCAAACAATAACTGAAAATTTATGTCATATGTGGTTTGCATAACCATGATTTATGTGAAAACTTAGTTGGTCATCCAATTGCGTGTTGCCTCATGTCAGAAGAGAAGGAATGTGTTGCTGACATGAGATTGAATTTGGTTCAACCAAAAAATATACTTGCAATTTTGAAACGTAAAAGACCGGAAAATATCTCAAATATCAACCAAGTGTACAATATCCGGTACCAAACTAACAAGACGCTTAGGGGGAATATAACTAAAATTCAACAACTCTTGAAACTGTTGGATGATAATAATTATTTGTCTAGGTACTGAACGTGTGAGGATAAAGTTACCATTAAAGATTTATTTTGGACTTATCCTGATTCCGTCAAATTGTTCAACATGTTTCCTACTGTGCTCATACTTGATTCAACGTACAAGACCAATAAGTATAGACTTCTATTATTGAAGATGCTTAGTGTTACCTCTACTAAGAAAACCTATTATGTCGGGTTTGCATTTCTAGAGAGCGAAAAAAATGAGAATGTTACTTGGGCCTTAGAGATGTATCAAACAATATTGAAGAGCCAATAAGAGATGCCTAAAGGAATTTTTTACCGACCATAATACTGTCTTGATGAATTCGGTTGCAAAGGTATTTCTTACTTCTTATACATTACTTTGTAGGTATCACATAACAAAGAATGTGAAAAGTCGAGTTAAACCCGCGATAGGGACGAAATAGATAGAGTTTGAAAATGAAAAAAATGGTGAAGGTGGGTGTGGTTGTGGAAAAAATAATGGATGCATGAAATGGCATAGTAAATTCTTCCATTAAAGAATTATATGTTGATCCCGTTATGTATTTCAAGAATGTGTGCGAGAAATATCCTGATTTGTTGAAATATGTTGAAAGCATAATTCTTGGCCAGGTGATGGAGAAAATTGTTTGTGCTTGAAGCGATCTGGTTAAACACCTTAAAAATACAACAACTAACCGAGTTGAGTCTACCCATGCGACATTGAAGAATTAGTTGAGAAATAGTAAGGACGATTTGTGTAGTGATTAGGACTTTGTCAACCAAATGATTCAGAACCTGCATAATGAGATACATACATCATTTGATTGGAGCATCACAGTTTTGGAACACAAATTTTAAAGACAAAATCTTTATTCTCAGTTGGTCGGTAATATAGATCGAGCAGGTTTGAATTATATTTTCAAGGGGCTAAATGAGCTGATAATATAGGCTCCGATAGCGCGAAGTGTGGATGCACAATTATGAAAACATATGATCTCTTGTGTGCTTGTGTTATTGCGAAAAAGGTGAAACTTGGTAGCCGGATAATAATAGATAAGGTTTGCACTCACTGGAAGAGACTTGGGTTTGAGAATGATGGTGTCATGAAAGACGGTAAATCAGATATCTTTATCTTGACCGAATGGGAAGTGATACAAGAGATATTTTTGAAATCCGGTGAGAACATGAAACTCCATATCAAAGAACAATTGGGGAAGATTGCTTATCCGAAAACCACCGACTTGAACCACTCACTCAATCGGTAAAAACAAAAGATGCTTCGGAAAAGCTCAAGCCTACACCGAGTGAAAATTCAACTGTGGGATCTCCTTTGTATGTTGAACATGTTGCCAAAAGTTTTACAAACTCACCAAATCTAAAATCTAAAAAAAAAAAGTGTTTTCAAAGGAGTCTGCATTAGCAAACCACCTCATACGCTGCCTCCACCAAAGATTATATTCATTGACGAGATGTCAGTTTTTATGCACAAATACATCGAGCGAATCATCAATGTTGAAGGGGTTGCAGTTATCGAGATGTTTCGACTTTGCTCAATAAAGGAGAAGATAATCATACACTTGTTTGTCATTAACTTATCCAAGAGTTAAGGACTCATAAAGAATCATACACATGCTTGTACGGAAAGAAAGAAGACTTTGATGAAGTTTATGAGTCTCTTGTTTCTTGCCTTAGTGGACCAGTACCGGAGGCAAAATAGATGTGCTTCCCTAAAATGGGTCACCTCATAGCATGCGCGTATGATAGAGTGTGTATTGATCTAACACAATAAGGTTTTTCGAAAACCTTTTTCCCACTGTGTACCGCCCCACCTCAAAATTCAAATGATTGTATTATGTGTATTGGGTGACTTCCAAAATCACGACGTTTTGTTCAAGTTTACTTGAAATCGGGATGCCCTATACCACTTATATCACCGGAGTGGACGACTCATTCAACAACAAAAGCTAAGACTTGGCCGAACAACTTTGTGAAAAGAATGCAAGAGTTCGAGAAATTGAACAACATTGAAAGAGAATCAAATGCACAAAAGTCAAAGGGAGTACCACCCATAGATTTAGGCGGCAAACAATGTTTAGATTCGTTTTAATTTTCTATTTAGTCGGATAAATAAGTACATGCAATTGTGTCTCAATATTAATGAAGTGTAATATATTCAATTTCTTAATATTTTAATACATTTTTATCTTTTCCATAACATTTGTTCATTTATCAAACAAAGTCTTCAATTAAGTTTTATTTTCAAAGGTTCTGATTTCTGCCTGGAGAGGTTCCGGAGATGTATCTTTGTAACAAGATAATAGGGCACGGAACTAGAGATATATCTCCGGAGTTAGCATGTTATATTTTGATTTCAACAACTTTGAGCTCATGACAGATGAAGATGTAAGGGCTACGTGAAATACATATTTCTGTTTTGAAACAAAAGTTTCGCTCGAGTTGCAAGCGACGATTTCAAGATCGGACAAAGATATTGTGAAGATGTTGAAACGCTCGCCTGGATATTGAAGTGTAATGTTGCATTTTATGTTGAAATCATCTATGTAATGCTTATTTTATATTATGAATGTTAATTTTATTTTATCAAATTATAATTTTTTTATTTCTGCCTCTTTTATTGTTGTGAATACATTACGGAAATGCATCTACGAACATGCATCTCCGGTATTAAAAAAATCCAACTAATAGAACGCCACTCAGAATGACCTACATTATGTGTATTAAACACATTTGAAGATATATCTCCAAAATTCAACAAATACTTTATTATTTTTGTGTGATGCGTAAATAACATATAGGGTGCAATTACTCCTAATTTAATTGGAAATATAGCTGCATTAAGAAATTCTCCTAATTTAATTGGAGACATAGTATGGCATGGTTTGAACCACAAGCCTTTATGATGCTGAACTTACGTTTATGTTGTCATATTGAAGAAGAATGTCTCATGTTTAATTATGAGTTGAAGATAGACGCAACAGACTTCCTCGTTATTTTCCAATTTTTTATGAAAGTATACAAACAAACCAGTTATTCAAACCAACTTATAATTACCTGGCACATGATATTGAACATGTGTTTTGAAAAGGATACTCTTATCAACTGTGATGAAACAAACATCAGGATATGACTTCCTTACCTTTTGCATATGCAGCAAGTGTTATCGAATGACGATGAAGGCACATCAAATTATGCCATATAATCATTTGATAATTGATAATGCTGCAATCAATCTAAGATCATGACAGAAGATTGCAATTAAACATTTTGCATTATGTTTTACATTATTAACATTCACCAGCCATATAGAATTTTGTGATACATATAATCCATGGCAGATGAAGATAAACATAATTGACATATAGATAAGCATAACAAAATGTATGATCCAGAAGCCAGTTCCTTTTTTTTTCCCAACTTACATTCACCATTTCTCGGGTGGTTAAGGCTACAAGATCGGTCGACTGTAATACTTGCAACGGTAAGAGCGGCTGTTGGTACTAATGGCTGAACAAATATATATTTCTAGTAAGATAAACTCGGATGAGCACAGTTGTAATTTCCCATAGACAAAAGTAGATTGCTTGGCTGGATTGTTTTTATTATTCATTTGATCTTTTCAATATGCTCAGACCAAGTCATTCAACAACAACATTCACCAGTTCATATTCAATCAGAGACAAGTTATTATCTTCCTTGACAGTGAAGGTAGCTGGTTCTGTGACTTCAATACGGCCCCATTTGTCCACGGCGAGTCTCATTGAGCCTTTGAACATGTCAATCTTAGCATTACGCAAGATGATAGTGGAGCCTTCTTTCATCAAATCCACTGAAAAGAAGAAAAGAACCATCAGAAATAGAATGTCATGAAAAGAAGAAGAGAAAAAAAAAAAACTCATTCAAAGCCATTGAAACAAAATCAGGTCATTGAGAAGTAAGTAATTAGCAACTTAATTGAAATTTTCCAACATAATAATAGCATTTCAAAATTTATTATCTACCACAAACACGAAACTTTATTTTAACTATATGTTGAATACAAATTAACATGCAATATCAACTATCAAAGGAGAATTTCGATCCAAGAACTCTTGGTATAAATATTGGCAAAACAAGTAACTAAGCCCATAGGAGTAAAATGAAGAGAAAGACAAAAAGATGTGAGCTTATTTTGAGATCTTTGGCTTATCTCGAGATCTCACACCAACTAGAGATCAGTGTCGTTGATGGTGGATTATAATGGCAGGCCAAATTTCCACCATAAAAATATGGTCGATAAGTAAGAGCCTGTGGCAAATGCATGGCTGGCAAATTGAAAAATGAAGCAAATACAGAAAAGAAAAGGAAATAAGACACAAAATGAATAGAATGGAAATGGTAATATGCAAAAGAAAGAAATACAGCAGAAAATAGAATACTACGAGAAGAAAAATGGTTATATACAAAATAATGGTAAGCAAAAAGGAGAAAAGACACATTAAAAAAATGATGCTTCAAAGCTCATAAGGGGTAGTGGTTGATTTTAACAGTGGCAAAGATGTGGCCAAAGTAGCCCTTAAATAGCCTCTTGAGCAAGCTTTTCGAGTCGAGTTGGGCCTGGTACAAATTTCAAAAAGATATCGAAGTGTCCTAGATTTGTTATTGGGCAACCCACGCCTGTCCACACTCCAGATATATAGTGGTGCCTGGTGTGGAGGCATGTTAAGATCACACATGATAAGAGAGTAGAGATGGGGTCAAAGTATTATAAAGATTTGGATAATACACACTTATATAACAGATTTTTCGGGTTGAGCCCAAACTTTAAAAGCTTACTTAAGAGGAAAAGGGAAAGGGGGCGTATTTTGGACTTATGGATGGAGAATCTGTGCATCTCCAGAATTTTCTACGTTGTTCTGTTCTTGCAAGGAACTACTCTCCTGCTTTTGAAATTTACACCTACTGATATCTTATTTCCATAGGGTGAAATAAATATATTTCCTTCTCCCTAAAAAAGATAGTTTCAAAGTGAAATAAAGATACTTCCAAATTTCAAAGCATACAAATGAGAACATCTTGCATCTGTATGATTGATTAGCATTAGTATAAAGGATGGTTTTTTTTTCCTTCTCTCTTTAAAAACAAAACCTCCTCGACCGAATCCGGTCACATATTCAAAAGGATTAAACATTTCTGACCAAACAAAAACTTCTTCGTTTTCATTTAACATTTTAGACAAAAAAAAAACAATGAATTCTTATATGTCGGAATCATTCAGATCAACAAATATAACAAACAAGTACTTCATGGCCAAAAATGCCAATAACCATTTAGGAAAAAAAAATCTAATCAGTAATAAACTTATTTACAATCAAGATTTTTGCCTTTAATTGCAGGAAGTTTGTGAAGCAACAAACTCTAGAATGTGATTTGATCCTTACAGGCTATCACAAGATTCAGGCTGTTCAGAAATTGCCTTCTCTATTGGTTGTTTACCATTGGGTTGCAACCGACTTAGGTCTGGGTGAACGCAAACCAAATTTGAAAATACATAGTTAAAAAGTGTTATCGAGTTTCTGACCTTTCAAATCTAGATGTGATGTGAGGTGCCAAATGCTATTAAACAGGACTTGTATACATTTGCAGTCAAGTGACCAAAATGGTTCAAACACGTGTAGGATATGATATTTCTTATTTTGATCTCTATAAAAAGACTAATACAACAAAATATTTATGCGGTTGATTTTAGTGCTAGAAATTGCTAATGGAGATGTCATACATAGCTTTTTGGGTCAAGAAACCAAAAAAGGACAGCAACGCAAATGACTGCCTTGCTTAGTTTCCAATGAGATAGAGATTTAGAACGTTATTATAATTATTGAGACTAAACTAAATATGAACTTAAAAATTTATATACGAATCAAAGCAATTCTTATAATAAATTATAATATCTTGATATTATTTATAGTATCTTGGATTTCCTCATAGGATCAGCTTCCTTTCTTCAATTATTTCTTAGGATTAGCTTCCTTTCTTAGATTATCATATCAGATTAGTTTCCTTTCTTAGATTATCATATCAGATTAGTTTATTTCCTTAGATTATCATATCAGATTAGTTTCTTCCTTAGATTATCTTATAGGGTTAGTTTCTTATCTTAGAACATCTTATATGATCTTCGATTACTTTTTATTTCTTAGTTATTATTATGGTTCAATTTTAAGGGGAATACTGGATTTTTTGGAGCCCTAAACAGTAACACAATGAGGGGACAATGCGGCGTTCACAAAATGCCAAATGCAATGCCATCTTGCGATGCGAAAGTGACCGCGACAGCTGATAATCACTTTTGGGACACAGCGCCGTATGCGGGGGCGAGAATTCACCCCGATAGCGGTGTTACTTTATGTAATTGACAACATAGAACTTAACATTGCTATTCGGCCACCGACATTTATTCACACTCCATATGGAGGTATGTTCAGATCCCACGTCAATTTAAAATATGATAAAAATAGTATTTATATGACTTGGGACTATCCTCACCATATGACCTAGCTTTTAGGGCTGAATTAGGCCTAACCCAAATTCAGAATTAGGCCTAACCCAAATTCAGAATTAGGCCTAATCTAAATTATAATATCAGTATCGGCAACTATTTTCATTTAATAGGTATATACTTATCATTTTAAAAAACCATTTGCAATGATTTAATTTAACCCAAATGACTTTTAGACGTTAGCCTTTCAGTTCACAATACAAACATTAAACACAAACTACACATGCGGACAAAATAAAACACTTATGCATGAGTTTCTTTTGAAGTAACAGATATCAAAACACATAAGATGCCCACAAAACCGACAAAATAAATCACACAAGACTTGGAATGTGAATACCCCATTCAAAATAATAAAAGAAAAATCTTCTTCTAGCCCCAAAATAAAATTCAACAAGAATCTAAAAATACTACAACAATGCAACACCATGATGCAGTAGAGAAAACCTGTAAAAATTATAAGTAATAACATGCATACCCTGATCATTTCTTGCAGTAACTATAATCACTCCAGTCTCATCACCAACCAAACTCTCAGCAATTCGCATTTGACGGGATTGAGGTCCATCAGGACGACCTCTCTGCATCACCATCTTAGTATCAACAACCTTCACAGTTATGGTGTGTCCACTGGTCCCTGGGCGAAGCTGATCAACCTTGGTAAACACCGGTTTCCTCAATCCTTGTTTCGAATCAGCCATATTAAAACCCTACAAAAGTGCAGAAATCACAACAAACTCCACTTATACAACAGAAAGAAAAAAAACTGGATCAATGCACACTATGAGTATATTGCAGGTTGTAACATACAACTTAAGATTAAATGTTTGATGCAAATTTGAACTAAAATACCTAAATTTTAAATATGAACTAGAAATAAAATAAATGCAACCACTCAATCAATATCAATTACAATCCAGAAGACTCCGCAATTATACTAGCCCCAGCTTAAAAGGGTGAGAAAGTTTAGATCTTTTGAATATATCTAGGTCAAAGACTCAAAGCTAGGGCAAAAGATATTAATGATAGAACATCATAAACAGGGAGGTCAAGATTCAATCAAATCTAGTTCATAGATTCCAAATACAATTCAGTCAAAGAAAATTAAAACCTAAAATTTGGAACTTGAATCACCAAAATTTAGAATCGAAAACATGAGTGGAAAAGCGGTGAAAGGAGAGTGAAAACAAGTGAGAAAGTAGAGAGAGATTAAAGAGAAATTTTACCTGAAAGTAAAGCTGAAATGGAACTGGGTGCGAGAGAGAAGAGGTGAAACTAGAAAGCCCAAATGTGAGTGAAGATGAAACTGATGTGATGCGATATGCAATTCAAATGTAAATGTTATGTACTTATGTTGATCTTTAGGTTTAAAAATGTCGAGAATATTTTTTTTTGTCGGGACTAAATTTTCATTTTTGAATTTTTTTTTTATTAAAAATCTTACTTGTCATAATTATAGTTTTAATAAATGTGGATAATAATAAAAAATTAAAAAATCGGATTACTAGAAGAGAATTATTTTAGTGTGGAAATTGCAATTTGCATTTTTTTTATTTCTTTTTTAAAATGTAATCTCTTTTTTTTTTCTCTTTTTTTTTCATCTCGCTCTCACTTCTCTCTCATAAAATTATCTAGAGTTAAGAAAAGTTAGAGGATCTCTTTAGTACCGCATTTCTTTGTTGGCACATGACTTAAATGAGATTCGCATTCCACTTATTATGTGGGTTGATTAAGCTTGCATGGTCAAGTGTTCATTTTTCACATCGTCAAATAACAACTTGGTCTTTTCTCTCCATTTTATCTTTGATATATTTTTAATAGTGTTTATTTAGGAGTTTGAAGAGTTTGGGAACATCGTAAAGCTTCAAACTATTTTGGAAAGAAATGAGTTATGGAAGAAATAGGTGGAGTCCTCCAAATGTAATTAAAATTTTATGGGTAAGGAGTATATGACATATCCTTTAGTTTTGCTAGCGATAATGATACTGATTCAGTGTCTTGTTTCTTAGGTTTTATCAAGATCATCATGGAGATTTCTGCCACTCTTTTCAGCTAAGCGGTGTTAAGTTTTGACTCTCTTTGTCTCAACGATCATTAAGTGGAAGCCTTCTGATTTGGACTAGAACTATCATACACTGGCAATGAAGCCGACATAATTTTAGAACCTTGTGTGCCCAGGGATACAGTTTGCATGCATTAGCCTGCTGAAGTGCCGAACAAATATTTTTATTTTTATGTTGAGATCATTAATAGACTTGGGGTGGGTATTCTTGTTACCCTGTTCAAATCAGATCTCCTTAAAGTACTCAATGTTGCCCCTCCCAATTGTTGGGTCTTTGCTCGAGGATTCAAGGTTATTTGTTGGGGTCTTGATATGACACCTATTATCAGCATCTTCTTTTTATTTTATGATACTAAATGTGTAGCTAAGGGAAGATGGGTTTTTGTAAGCGTTATTCATGGTTGGGCCATGCTTTCTCCGTACACCTCAAACTACAAGAGTTAGAAGGTTAAATTTGTCAGGGCTAGGGGAGTGCATATTTCCTTAGAGTTATTTATAATGAGGATAGGTCTCATCGGTTTCCTCTTTACTAGACAGGTGAACATGTTGAGATTGTGGGATATGACCCAAATAGATTGAGTCAGACATAGAAATAGGTGGTTGATTTTCTAGAACAGTTTCGTATCATATGGGTACGGGACCTGTATAGCTACGAGGTTGACGATCATAAATTGTTGGAGTTTTAAAGTAATGTGTTTTTGTTATTTTTATCACTTTTCCTTTTATATGTTTGATTACAATTAATCCTTTTGATTTTTCAGCTAGGATAACTTGCATTTCAGTGGCAAAGAGAAAGGAGATGATGGTAAAGTTGAAAGTTGTTGGGGCAAGACCCAACTCATGAACTAGAGTGACCCTTCTAGTTTTCAAACCAGGGTTCCAAAGAACAGGAAAAGTGGTTGATGGGGTTATGGTAAAATTCGTTTCTATAACCATTCCTTCCAGCTCTGCCCTTGAGAGGTTTAAATGGCCTCTAACGAAGAAAAGCAATGCGGATTTGGGGAAATTGCTTGCTGATTATAACGACGTCCCTTTAATTGATTTTAAAGTGAATGGTCTGATTGTGAGCAAAAGGGGTAGTAGACCTTAAAATGGAAGGTCTTCCTCCGCCCGGGATGAGGAGGAGTTTAAGTTTTAGGGAATTGTTGTGAAAACTATTGATATGTGTAAGTATACACAGTTAAATAGTAGTAAGTGATGTAAAAGTAAGAGTATCGACCCTACGAATATTGTAAAAACTTAACTTGATTCTCACATTAAAATCTTGTGAATAGTCATGAACAAAAAGTAACAATAATAATGTGTTATCACATATTCAAGTTAAAATACAATAAATGATAAGTGATGATGAAGAAGTTAAATCAATAATAAGATTAATATTAGGCAATTATCCTTCTAATGAAGTTCATATTTTATGTGTGTTTGATGAAATATGTCATGACAGATGAGAAAGAAAGTGATTGAGTGGTGTATGCCTACAACATTATAGCATGTGCATCATGTCAAGGGAACAACTATCAAGGTCTTACAATAACAAAGAAGCATGCATATATTTTATAACCCCTAATTTCCTTTATGGTTGTGGCCATTTATCTCTAAAGTGACTAATCTAGTGAATCTTATATCCTACCATTTTCAACCATATTACTTATGAAGTATGTTACTTAATAGATCTTTCAACCCTTAAACAACTTTTACTTATTTCTAACTGGATCAAGCAAAGAAACAGATGTATAACATTATTTTATGTAGTAAAATGCATCACTTCAAATCACACCATTTAACACAAAATATTACTTTTTCATTAAAATTCACATTGCTAGTCATACAGAGGTTTAACTCATGATGAGCAAAAGAAATACAACAACACAAGTTTTTACATTCAAAATTTCTAAACACTAATGAAAAGAAAATATAAACCTAAGTATGACTATCTACTCTTTGCAATCTCTAAATCAGTATGAGGTGAGTTTTGTCATGCCAAGATGCTCAACACTTCTTCTTCTTCTTTAATAAGATATTTTTAGAGTAACTTCTCAAGTCTTTCAACTTTTGAACCTCCTTCAGTTTCTTCCAAGAGGTTCCTTTTATAAGCTCTAACTTTTAGGCTTATGTCTTGTCATTGGATCGTGGGCCTTGTCGATAATAGTTATTTTGGCCCAATAAACATAACATTTTCCTTCTTTTTTCCTTCAAATCAACTCCAAGTAGTACAATTTCCAGCACACATGGGACAACATGTCCTATGACAGATATGTTGCACAGACACACAACAACACACATAATTTTGTGCACATCAGCTTTTGCAGACTTTCATCTTGTAGTGCTTGATCTTATCCATCTAGTTTATCTAACTCACTTGTACTCCAATCTCTATATTGTTGTCATGTTTGCCCTAATACCATAGGCCTTCATTTCTTGCGACCTCTTTTAGCACTAAGACTTTGCTGAAACTTGAGGTAGAATTGATATTCCAATTTTATCGTGTCATAACTTATCATAAAGTGGTCCTACATAAGGGACAAACACATAAAAACTCACAAAAAGAGCATTTCCTCTTCACAAAATGACTCAAAACAACAAAATAAACTTAAATTATCCTAGTAAAGTATGTTAATAACAAAATAAAGTCAAATGTTAAAGGCTTGAATCTCTAACAAATAGTGAGTTATCAGGCATGACCCGAGATGACTTTCCTCTATGATCACAGTATCTCAACCAAGGACATTGAGAAAGCGAAGACAATTGGTGCTAAAAAAATGCAATAACTTTTGGGTACCTACTTAATGAGGAGTGTAACACCCCAAATTTGATTAATTGATTTAATTGAATTATTTAGAATTTTATTTGATTATTTGGTGTTTTAATTAAAATGAATTATGTGTTTATGGGGGTGTATTGGTATTGGTAGGGTGTGGTGAGGAATAGGTATTTGGAAGAATGATTAGAAAATAGCAAGAATAATGGTATTTTTTTAATTTAATATTATGATATAAGCAGCGGTGAAAAGCGGAAAAACCAGTAAAAAATGAAGATTGTTCATGAAGATTTCCACAGGAAGACCCCTTGGTTCTGGCAAACAGATCACAATTACAAGTACTTGAGAGCATACCGATGGAATGGGCATTTTATTTAATTTATTAAATAAAATAGAGAAGGAGACTATGTGATAGAAAATGAGAAAATAATAGAAATTAAGGAATAATAATATTGGTATTTTTATTAAAATAAAAGTAGAGATGAGAATGGCATGTGGCTAAATAAGAGAATAAGTGAGGGTAGTGTTAAAAGTCTCTAATTGAAATAGATTAGGTTACTAATAAAAAGGTTATTAAGTGGGGCTTTTAGAGTTTTCTACGTAAAACAAAAATTTTGGTGAGAAAAAGCAAGGGCTAGGGCTAAAAGAAACTCCATTGTTAGAGCTTGAAGGTTGTATCTTGCTGGAAAATATAAGGTAATGGGAGATTACTCCTAATAGGGTGTATTGCATGTTTTGGTAGTGGGAAATCCTTAATCCCATTATATTTTCTTACTTTTTCCCCTTGATGAATGTTGGATGAACATATGAAATCAATTCTGTAATTAGATGATTATTTGTTGTGTTGTGTGAATTTCATGCACTGTTTTACCATGAGATAT